TTATTTAAATGTTGTCGATAGAGAAACAAAAACTGGGAGTATAGCCCTAACAACTGTTATCTTTTTAAGTTTAGTTTTTATGAATGTAAGGGATCTTGCAAATGGCTGGGTTATAGTAGCTTGCCAAGTTTCTTTCTTCCTTTGGGTTGGGCTTCAACTTTCTGCCCCACCAGATAATTCACACACATAATTGGCTTATATTATCAAACCTGCAGATGTTTTATGTTCAAATTGTGATGGTCTTGTGAAACCCAGAAATTCTACTTGAGTATCCATGACAAAAGGTTGTCTCTTCAATACATTTTAAAACATTGACTATTTCCTTTTTCCTTCTCCCCAGCTAGTTACAGCCAGCCAGTACTCAGCGGGCCAATAAGAAATACCAACAGCAGTGGGGAAGAGGAGGTGACTTTCAGCTGCAGATCCAGCAATGGATATCCAGAACCAAATGTTTATTGGATAAATAAAACAGACAACAGACACCTGCCTCCATCAGAATTAAAGATCACCCCCCACGCAGATGGCACTTTCAGTGTTTTTAGCACACTGAAGATTAAAGCAACTTCTGATATGCAGATAGAGTGCTCCATAGAAAACAAACTACTACAGGAAAATCTATCAGCCAACTGTAAGTTGCTTGATAGTATTTCATGTTTTCTAGATAACAAGCATATCAACCAGTGTGCATCTGTCTGTAGATATGCCCTTCTAATCAGGGGTATACATTAATTCAGTAGTTCAGAAAACTACTGAGAAGGGTTCAGCTTTTCTTTTAACCTAACTACTTTTAGCTATGCCATTTATGTTAAATTCTAACGTCTTCCAAATTCAACTGAACAACAATAACAACACTGAGAAGCTCTTGCTTTTGAGACAATCTTGGAATCGCTGGGCTTTACTCTCTTGCCCCTCTGGGACGTGACAGCTTGGGGAGTCAGATTGTTTTTGAAGTGATACCATGCAGGAGATCCATGATTTCCGACTCCCCACACCTGGTTGCTTTGCAGCAGTCACATTTTCTTTTTTCTGTTGAGCTGTGAAGTTCTCTTTTCAGTCCCCAAACTCAGTTCAACACAGTGCACTATTTAAAATAGGCCTGTAGCAAACAGATGGCGTTAGCCCAATAGAACAATAAAATGAGATCATAAGAATAATACACTGTTTACTGCTGCTATAAATGATCAATAATAAGAAGACATATCACTCAGTTCTTCACAGAAACAGAAAGTTATAAAGCTAGTAGCTATAAAAAAAAGTTCTAGCTGTAGTGCACTTTGTAGTTTCTAAACAGCTGCATAGAGAAGGCAGCTGGAGTGGGAGAGCTTATCTTGAGTTGGCTGCTCGGTCTCACTGTGGTTCCTGGTCCTGCTTCCCACCACACCTTTCTTTCTCAGGCTCCTGCACCTGCTGCAAGGAGGTTTGATTGCTTGCAGAGCTGTATCTAAATTCCCCTAGTTAGTTTACCTGAACATGCCAGGCTGCAAAAGCAGCAGTTCAGTAAGGGCTGTGGTGGAGAGGGTGAGATCAAGAGCTGCAGGAGAGACCCAAGTAGCCAACCTCAAATCAGCTCTTTCCATTTGTGAATCGGAGCCAGCAGAGAGCCATGGTGGGATATGAATAAATCTTTTTTTCTGCTCCCCTGACTTTCCCCTCTTCCCACACAGTGTCTTTATAGAAGCAATCCCATAATCTTGAGTTAATGGGACTAATTGCACTAACACAGCCAAGTGATACAGATTAAACTACTTCCAGGAACAAAAACCGTGTGCAAGAATTGCACAGTAGAGTGCAATAAGGTAGCATACCCTTGCTCTCATCCCAAATAAAAGGAAAAGTGAGCAACGTGGTCATTAGTTTCCTAATCGTGTCTTGTCATATTGTATTCTGAGAAAAAGACCTGTATCTCTTATTATTTTTATTGGTTTCTAAAAACACTACCACACTTGAAAGAATTAGAGATGCAATCTGAAAACCTAAGTCCACAGCAGTCACTGGGAATTCATCACTAACTTCAGAAGAATGCATTTTTGCCTGCTTTTCTGAATGCTGTCACATTTACGTTATCGCTTTTACATAGATTTATTTTCAATAAATCTATGCAAGCAAGCTCGAGCATATAGTCTGCCAACGCTGGGGGGAAATAAGAATAAAAATAAAGGAGGAGGAGGAATGTATATGGTAATTACTATACTATCAGACCATGTCAGCTTGAGACATGCCTTGCACAAAAGGAATAGAACCAGCATCACAATGACAGAAATGGCACAAATATTTAGTCCTTCAGGATTTCTGTGCAAACTGTGATCAGATGACTGCTTGGAGCAAAATGTAATAATTTACACCTTATTACATCCTATTTCTGTTTTATTCTAGATACACAGGAAAAGGCGAACAACTATTCTAACACAGAAAGTCAAAAAGACCTGGGACAAAAAACACGAGGTGCTCAAGCAGCCGGCATCGTTTCCGTTGTCATTCTGATAGCTATTCTAGCTGTTTTTGCCTGCTGGCTACGGGGATGGAGGCCCTCTCAACTAATGTCACACCAAGGTAAGGAGGTCCTTGATTTGCCTGTTCAACTCTGAAGAGTTCTAATTCATTTGCCAAAATATGTAATGCCATCTAGCACATCACTGGAGGTACGAGCAAATTCCCTACGCGTGACAGTAAGCAATCGTGAAACGCATCAAAAATTTGGGATGCCCTGGGGAAGGCATTTACTTCCTCAGAACATTTACTTTTTTTAATGGTGTTCCGCTAATGCACCTGAGCCTCACAGGGATTAATTGCTGAGTGTGAGTAACTCCGCCTTCATGCCCGTTCAGGCTGTAGTGTCTCAGCTGTGATTCTTGCAGGACAGTTCTGGAAAGGTGGAGGGGATATTCCTCCATGGAAAAGTACTGGGTCAGTAACTTGCTCTTTTTAGGACAATCCAAAGCAAAAATCACAGGACTGATCAGTCCCAAGAGTCCTACAGTCACTGACTTGACGATTAAGGGCTCAAGGTCCCACTATGAATTTCCTAAGCTAGCAGCTTTCTACAGGTTAGAAACAAAGCACATCTCACTGTCACTCCACACTATACGTGCACACCATGGTATTGCTGCATTTGCCCATGTGTGGGAGTCTCAATGCTTGGCAAGACAAAACAAAAAGTAGCTCCAAGAGATGTCTTACAAACCAGACTGAATCTGTGCTGCTGCGTGCAAGTACTTGCCATAAACCAGTGTGCAGGTATACAAGAGCTAACATGTAAGAAAAGGGAACAGGGACAAGCACACCTTTCATGCACAAGGACGTTTTCAATCCATACGCTGCTTCCTGTTGGCTAGCACCCCGAGATGTTCCGGAAAAGAGCAGGAGGAAGCAGGGTGATCTTCTTGCCCTGCATCTGCAGCAGCTGTTCTAGGAGCCACGTCCTTCTTTCAGAGACAACACAGGAGCAGCACAAAACCACTCCATCCCAAAACATGGAGCAGGGCTGTTGCTTCAAGACAAAAACTTATCCTCGCTGAAAATGTGACCTTTATTTGAAACAAATAGATAGGGACCGCGTTTTGCTGTCCAAAGAACATTTAGCACAAGGAACCATCAGTTTTGAGGGACGCTCCTTAGTATCAGTCCAGTTTGGATAAAGACCATGGCTATCTATCCTATATACCTAAAGTACTGCATCTTTTTCAACAGATGTCCCGCTAAATGAAGACAAAGGAGAGTTCAACTGTAAGTATTAAAAACATGTTACCGTGTTTGTCTCAGGAATGACTTAACTTTACAGCTTTGGTGCTTAAGTTCAACATAAAACCTTTGGATTAGACTTCCCACCTGTGTATAAACTCAAGCACGTAAATCTCTTCTTGAGCCCTGTAAGTATTGCCAACGGCAGCCTGAGAGTTCCTGGAAGTCCTCCTTCAACTGTTCAGGCCGAAGGACCTGACAAATCGATATAAGCATGCAGGCTAGAGCTGCCCTCCCCTCCTGCTTTCCACTATGCTGCAGCTACTGTTGTTATCAGGGCGAATTGGTTATGCTATAATCCAGGCAGAGCCAAACATAGCAGATCTGTTTTAAATGCTAATTTTAAAGTCTGGACAACTCTGACCATTTCCTGTCAGTACATATCTTCAAATGGTTGTTCTCTGCCTTTTTAGGCAACACATCCTAGAAGGTCTTCAGCTGGGACACATGAACATCATTTGCTTCACGTCCATGAGCCTGAGCCTAATTACACCGCATTTAAAAAAAAAAAAAAAAAAAAGTACTAAACATTCTCCTTTCCTAGTGGAAAGAAAGGAAAAGCAGTTTAGACCTTCAGCATGTTCATGTTTTTATAAGCAAGGCCAGCAGCTAGTTTAACAATTCATTTCTCCATTCATAGTTTGAGGGGAAATAAAGTCAGAACAAAACAAATGTAAGAAAATTTGGAAAAACAAACTCAGCGTGGAGGAGTTGTAAGAGCACAGAGAGGGTGAAATATCTGCTTATTTCATATCTCGTTTGGTAGTTTCTACTGAGGCACATGACTGTTTCCTAGGGGGTCTCTGCAGAACAGGCAGAAAATGCGATGGCTCCACCAAAACCGTAAACAGTGAGAGCAACAGAAAGGAGAGTCTGCCTTAGCAGATGCTGTGCATGCACCGAATTCGTAATAGCAAACGGAGACAGAATGACTCTTAGATTAAAAAACAATTGGAATTTATTTCGTGGTCATGCAAACTGGGTGAATGGTCAGTTGTTTTCCAGACTCATCACACCGTTCCAGTCTCATCCCTAGCTGTTTGTTTGCTTAACATCAACAGCCTGTTTCCTGTGTGGTGTAACATAGTAAGAAGAATGGCTTTTCCCCTTCAGATAAGGAGACATCCTCTCCTTCCGTTCCCGTGAGCTATATTAACATAAAACTGGCCATTTGTTTAAGGTCAATTTTTTCCTCTCCTAACTTAGGCCAAGCCCTCTTTAATTAGATCCCTGGACCTAGCCCATAAGTAGAAAAACCTCTGTGATATAAATAAGAATAAATATTTATTTTATATTGAAGGTTGCTCTAGCTTGATTTGTTTGTTAACAACAAAATGAAGATGCTCTCCCTCCAGACACTATCCTTTCCTTGGCACGTTTCTGCACTAGTTACGGAAGAGGAGGTGGGACACCAGTTTTAGAGGGTTTGTTGCTATCAGAAACTGTCCCACCCATGAGGATTGTTTTCTGCCAAGAGAGCCTATAAGGCATGGGAGGCAGTATAACCCTAAATCCTTTGGGCATCCAAATTCAAGGACAAGTTGGGCCAAAGCCAGAGAAATGAGAAAGATCTGGGGAATGCGATCTCTAATGAAAGGCTGGTTGCGTTTGTTTGCTTAGGCTTGGAAAGGAAAGGTTGAGTAGGGACACAATAACAACCCTCTTCAGAGAATCTGCAAAGAGATGAGAAGTCATTTCTTGTCCCAACCTAGTAGACGCATCACTTTAGCATACAACAGGCTTAAACTATAACTAGGGAAGTTTAAGTTAGATGTTAGAAAAAATAACCTTTCTAAGGGTAATGGTAGCTGAGCAGCAAGGTAGAGAGTCTGTCAAGTCTCCAGCACTTTAGGTTTGTTGCTCTTGTTTTGTTGTTTCTTAACAAAAGAAGAAGAAGGTATCTGTTAGAGATGATGTAGAAATAGCTGGTGCCACCTTGGGGCAAAAAGATGGGCTCTTCCTTCTCCAAGTTATGATACTGGAGAAATTCTGGTTCAGTTCAGTGATTTCTTGAGATTTTTCAAGGGAGTGGTGGGTGGTAGATAGGGAGTAACACGGGGTCACACCCTCAAGGACAGGCTGCCATAGCATTCTGTTTTTCAGTACTGATGTAAATACGTTTCCGCTTTTAGCGGTTTGACTCTGTGAAGAAGGTCAGATTGTTTAACGGGGGGAAAATCCTAAATACTGCAAAAACAAGAAGAGCCAACTGAGACTAACTTTGCTGTTACGAAGAGAAGAGGTTTAGAAACTGTGGGGAAGGCAAGTCAGAAAGAGTAACTTCATCCTCTTGAGGCTGGACTCCGCAGATGCCTATTACAGTCAGTGAGACAATACGCTCCTGTGAGGAGGAATTTGGAGCCAGAGCTACTGTTGCTGTTCTGAATTGCTTTCTGGGAGAATCCCTCCACTGACTCTTGAGGAGCCTCGAGGAAGCTGGTTTCCCCTCAACCAGGGACAGGCTTTATGTATCTCTTTATTTAGGAGAAACTTAAAACAAACCAATGGCAACACTGACCTTCCTTCACTTGGAAATGAAGGTTGCCAGGAGAGCACTTTTTGCATTTGCGTAAAAAGAGGCACTTGAAATTTATAGCATGAGCACCGAGGCAGCCTTTGCCTAGGCAGAGTGCCATGCAGACGCAGGAGTTCACCCCCAGGCTGATTTTTCTCATAGCAGCATGAGCTTTTATCAAAAGTGGAAGTCCCCCTTTTGGTAGAATATTCAGTAGAGAATAAAACGTTAGTATCAAGGGCATTTAAAGATGGCTTCCTAATGTTAATACATTCAGTGTTTAACCCTGTCACAGCGACTCTTACTTTTGTAGGACTGGATCTCTCTCTCTATATATCTTTTATGTATCTTTATAGATATCTATCTTTTTATATAACTTTGCAGCTTATTCTGCTGATTATGTAGGAAAAGCACAACTCTAGCATCTGTAATTTCTGTTTTGTAAAGAAAAGTTATTTTGTTTTTACAGCACCTGTCTAAATGGAAAGTCCACCAAGAACCTGGGCAGCTTGACTTGCGTCAAGAGAAGTATCGCCCCGTCTCGGTGGCAGCATTACTTGTAATACAAGTGACAGAGGTTTCTGCAGCACGTGCCAAGATAGATGGCAAAAAGCTTCTTCAAAAGAAGAGAGCAAAACGCGTTGGATTTTTGTGCCAACCACCAGCTGCATCACCACGCCAGTTAACTACTTCAGACAGTCCTTTGTGATAGTCTATCAGTGTTTTGAGCTCCAGCGCTGGGGAAAGTAGTGTCTCAGACTTAACTAGTCTGAGCCGGAATGATGAAACTTGGTGACTGCTTAAGTCTATCATCATCATCACTGAGGAATTTGTTACTAGCAGAAGCGACTGTGTTTCAAGAGCATTGGAAGTTCTCTCTGTTTCTCATTACCCTGAGAATGGCTACTGAACGTGAAGAATGGCAGCTAAAAAACCAAAAAAATTAAAGAAGGAAAGAAAAAAACTGCAGGACTTTTTGCAAAGTGAGATTTGTGAACTTCTCCACCTTTCTCCAAGTACGTCCTTTCACTCTTCTCATCTGGTTTCACCAGCTGCATGTTACTGCGTACAGAACTAGCTAGAAACTTTCAACCCAGTCCTACAAAAGTGGGGGTCGCTGTGACTAGGTTAAACACCGAATGTATTAACATGAGGAAACCTTCTTCAAGTGCACTTAATATTAACATTTTATTCTTTACTGAATATTTTACCAAAACGGGGATTTCCACTTTTGATAAAAGCCAGTGCATACTGTGTGAAAGAACAGTTTGTGGAAATCAGATAGACTGTGATAAAAATAGCACTCTCTCTGCTATGTTATTGGCAAGTCACCCGGACATACCCTTTTGGGATGGAACAAAAGCTGTGGTCGGGCTCTGCTCGATTCAGCTGGTCTCTGTTTAATCACTGCTTTGTGACTTCCAGTGAGGTTTTTAAACTGAATTTCTCTCCCTTCTCCTGCCATCTCATCCCTCCACCCAAAAAAGAGGAGTACAGAGCATATCACTGCATTGTCCACGAATATTCTTTACCTACCAGTGGCTGAAGAGAAAAGGGAAAGAAGGCCAAAACCTGCAGTTTCCATGTGCGAGGACACATGCCTAGCTGATTCAGCCAGGAGCAGCAGGCTGAAAATAGTAAAGCAGCAAACTTCATTCATGGCATAAAGTTTTGAAGGAAGAGAAATTTATACCGGCTCCCACCTGCTTACGTGGGGCAGTTCTTCCCATTTAGTGGGGTTTTTGTTTGTTTTCTAAACTGAGCCCTAGAAATACTTGGTTGCTCCTGCACCATTGCTAGTCTAAAATCCTACCTTCTCTGTGAAGAAGTCACAGCCTTGTTTGTCCTCACTCTGCATAGGGAAGACGTCAACTATGAATTGAGACGTTGAGTTTTCAAGTTAAGATCAGATTTCAAATCCTAGTCAAGTCAAAATAAATTGATTGCCCTGTTCTTCTGTCATGCAGGATACAGAACCGTTTGGCAATAGCACGATTAGTTTTTGTTGAAGCAGCAGCCCCAAACAGGCTCAGAGTTTGGTAACTGTGAAGCTCCACTGCGTCAGTATTTTGTGGGAGGACTGCACAGGTTCAGCCCACGTGACGTTTAGCAGAAGGGGCAGTTTAGCTCTCACTTGATGCAGTCTAGGCTTACTCGACAGTTTGGACAGGATAGGGAAACTGGAAAAAAATTAAGGCCAAGCTGCAACTAAGTAATTAAGCTCCTATATCTTGTTTGGATTGTAAGTAATAATTTGTACAGTCATGTTTTTTAAAGAGATTTTATCTATTAACTTCCAAAAAGCATATTTGCTGATCTTGAATGTCTGTGAAAGATACCTTGATTTATTTATTAATTTCACTTTTGTCCTATGCTACCTTCCAGTTTACAATTGCAATGTATCGCACCAGATGTGGCTCACAGCATTTGTTAGATAAGAAGACTGAGATGCCACAGGCTACTTTACGTGTCATCTTTTTCTTGTGTTCTCTCTTCTCCCCTAATCTAGGTGTTAGATATTTTCAAAGTCCCTATCTAGTCTTCAGCGAACCCTAAGGGAATTTGCTTGAAGAAAGTGTGTAAGCTTGCAGACACCTTAAAAATGTGAATGACATCTGTGCAGATGTGAAGGGTAACCATTTTCTAGTGGTTCAGGAAGAGGTCCTGCAGACGCTTCCTCACCATCTATCATGAGAAGTTGTTTTGTGCAGCCCCTTTGGTGCTGCTGTAACTGACACACTGTTTTCTCAAAACAGTTTTCTTCCTTTCTATTCTGCAACTTCAATAAGCTGCAATTGTTTAGAGATGTAAGAAGTGTCCTAGCAGTCACTCTACAGTATGTTGCTAAGCTAATTCAGACCAGTGGACTTTTCTTACTACTAGATTACTACATAGTGCATAGTGAATATTTTCTAAGTGGGGCGGCTTGCTCTTGCAAAATCCATAGGTTTCCAGCTATTTCTGAAGGCAAATATATCCTAGATGACAGTTGCTTGCTACCATTCAGAGGTCTGGGAAATTCTGTAGTAACTGAGTTTTTGTCACCACACACCATGTTTGTATTCCAAATAAAATCTATTCATTTTTCTTCTAGATGTTTGACTAAATCTATCAGCATGTAAAGACAAGTCACTCCAAATCAAGGTCCCCCAACCAAACTGACAGTTTTACTCTCAGCCACATTAGTTCAGGGCATACGAGTGCTCCTTTCCAAAGTCCCCAGAATGAGGAGAGATCAATGCAACACAGACTGGACAAGCTTTGCTCTGTTTGGTTTCCACAGCACTACACCTTGAACTAATTGAAAGCCATGCAGTGGCCTGAGGGCAGTGCTAAGCTGATGCATCCTTTTCTCAGCCCACCTGAATGACTGACAGCAGAGCAAAGGTACAACCAGCACCTCCCGCCTCCCGATGTTAAACTGGCTCACCACACTGCCCAGGGCAGGCAATGCACTTCAGCACCAACACTGCTCTCTTTTCTTTTATTAAAGGCACCAGTTTACATTAACGGTATGTCCCAAGCAACTTGAACACAGGCATAGGAAAGCACCGCCTGATGCTGCTCTATGGGAAGACTCTAAGAAATGGACTCACTTTCACAGAAAAGCGAAAGGCTTTCGTTGTGGCATGGCTGGTAAACCACAGATGGAAAGCCCCGAGAGAGAACATATGTTGCTACTTAGTGGTTTGAATCCATCCTTCCTGTAGTCAAATTTATTATTTAAATCTTTTCACCTGTGAGAGCTGAAATTTCTCTTTCACCCAAAAACACTTACCTTTTTTCACTTCAAGCGCCCTGACTCCAAATACTGTAGCCGCTTGTGCTACATCAAAAATTTTATTAGAAGCTTGTTTTTCAAATTACGAAGTCGATCCTTTTTTACATTCAGGGAGGGGGAGGAGAACTTATGCACAAAAGTCCACATTTCCCTCATGGGGTAATCTCTGTAGCCTCCCTCACTTTTCCACAGAAGGAGAAACCGCTCTAAAGAATAATTCAGTTCAGCCTGACTTCAGAGGGACTTTAGGGAGAGAAACCCTTCCATTACAGAAGTTAGGCCTTTGGGAATCTTCCTCTCAATGCTTGAACTGACATTAGGACCTTCACCACATATTCTTTAGGTGATACAGGATGGAATCATTATAAACTAGTCCCTCTCTGAGGATTATGAAAGACAGCTACAGTGCTGAAAATCCTAGCAGTTTGCATAACAAAGTGCCTGAGTTTGTGTTCCTTGAGGTTATCTCCCCTGCACCTGGTAGCCCCGGGAATTAAAGACCATAAACTATTAGTCTCTTCCTCATTCATCTTTCAGGTGATACTTACATCACAAAACGTTCATTTGTATCATCCAACACAATGAGAATGATCCCAACACCTTAGGCATTGCCGGCACCACGAAATAAGCATTAGCAGCATATCAGAACCAATGCCCCATGCCACAAAACACAAGTCCATGTGAACTACTCATGATCTTACCATTAATCAAATGCTGAAGTAATTGGTCAGGAGAGGACCTTCGTCTCCCACTTTAGGCTGGTTCACGTGGTTGCTATGTAGAAATATACATTCTTGTTTCAACACAGTCTTACCCTGACCTCCCAGCTCACCCAAACTAATTCCCAATTGTTTAGTAACAAAGCACTAGTTTGTTTTCCTGTGATATGAAGAAGTGCTATTTTCGGGCCATCTTATAATTGGAAAAATGGGACACAAAAGTCCTCTGCCCAGTGTCAAGCAAGTCTACAGCTGACTCGGAGCTTGAACTCACACCACGGGCACACAGAGCCATTCTTCTCTCCTCCTTTCACTGGCTAGACTGGGAAGTCTACTTCTCTGCAACATTCACCCCTGTGTGAAGTGCTAACGTTTCTTTCTTAATTTCTCCTGCCAGGAAATCTACACCATCACAGAGAGCGTACATGTGATAACTTTGAAGAGGCTGAATTTGCAATTTCAAAAAAAATCAGGGTTTGCTTGCAAAAATCTATATTCCATACCATCATACTAGACTAGAGGTAATTCTGTTCCTCTTGGTTCATCTCTTTACCAAACTTATCCGTGTTATTTTATCTAACTTCCAAAATACATCACTACTTCAATTACAGCAACAAAAAGGCAGTCAAGGGGTAAAAGTGTGAAGTGTCTAAACTATTCCCAAAGCGCTATAGGTCCCTTTATAACACAAAGCAATCCCAAAGCAGCTTTATCATCTTATTAGACAAAGAGCTCAGATCAGTTTAATAAGATGCCAGTGACATTAAAGTTCTGAGTCAGCAAAGTGCCAGAAGTTGTCTTATAAGCACAATCTTTTAAAGCCATTCCTTTAGTTATCTATGTTTATATTGATATCTCTATATCTATCTGGCAAACCTGCACCACAGAAGGGTTGTCCCCTTACTTGTAATACATTATCAAATCCTCCTAACAGGATCATGAGGAAAAACCCAGCTCTGTGTTGGTTCCTGATCTGCTGAAAAAAAAAAAAAAAAAAAAAAAAAAGCTCTTCCAGCTCCTGAGCTGCATACCCACTGGGGCAGGCCATTTTATCTGCGGATAACCTGCTGCTTTCTACGCGGAGCTAGGCAGGGAGCCGGCCAGCCCCAGCACCCGGTGGAGACCGCCAGGCACGCAGCCAGCCGCCCCAGGGAGCTCGGCCAGACTCCCTGGCATCCGCGCTGCAAAACGCCTGCCCAGAAGCCAAGGGCTCAGCTCGGCGAGGGCTAGGATCGCAGAGGTGAGCCGGGGGGCCAGCAAAGGGGCTGCGGTGCCAGGCTTTGGCTCAGCGTTTAATTAGTGCACGGGCAACCCTGCGGGCAACAGGGCAGCTCGTTCGCATCAGCTCTAGCACGCCAGGGCACAACAGCTCAGCTCTGAAGATAAAGTGCCTTCAAGCAGTAAAAAGAGAAACAACAAATGAAAACAAAACAAAATAAAACAAAAACACACACACAAAAAAAAACCCTACATATCTGTAGTGGGTTTGGGGTTTTTTTTTTGTTCTGTTTTGTTTTACGTTTTCGCCTGTGGGGATCGAGTTCTTCAGGTCCGCCATGAGGGAGACAGCTGTCTATCGAGATGTTGCTCTTGGAAAGGTTGTATCCCACTGCATTAAGGCAGAAGAGAGAAAAGGAAAAATCTTTTTATTTGTTCCAGCCCAGTGATACTTCACCAGTCCTCTGGAGAAGAAACTCACTGTAGGAATTCTTTTTTTTTTTTTTACAGCAGCCCTTAGGAGGGCTCTCATTAACAAGCATATGCTCTGGCTGGCTGGAATTATCAACCACAAAACCCACCAGGCTCATACACAAAGAGCTAGTGTCTTTTGTTGGTGTTTCTGGCAACATGATGAGTGCTAACGGATTGCATACAACATATTTCAGCTTCACTTTTGAGCAATTCCTATTGCATCACAAGATATCTGGATGGAAGAAAAAATCTAAACAAACACAAAAGAAAATCAAACAGTTCCTCAGAAATGGAAAACTTGGCAAAAGGAACAGCTGACATCCACCAGTTTCTGTTGCTGCATTTACCATGTTAGTGGGTCTTCAAAGCATGGGAAAAGATGGCAGATGTTTCAAGTGCCAAATGCCTTCTCTGGTAAGAACCAGTTTTTGCTTTTAAAACAGCATACCTCCGGGTCACGTGTCTGCAAAAACAAAGCTTGGCACTATGACTTGAGTGCGTTGCAGCCATGTGGGATGCCATGCACAGACGTGTACCCCCATCAGTATACATTTTGGAAGCCTTTACAGTGGGACTAGTAGGGGAAAAAAGGGAAAGATTTTTATTTCCATCTCTAGGCAATGCTGCTCCACTCAGCAAGGAAATCACTGAGGTTATGCACCTAGGTAGAAGCCAAGCAGGCATTTGCATGAAGCTGGAAACAAAACCTGACTCCCCTCTTGTGAAAGCCTGGCTTTACAGCCCAGCCCTCCTACACATCACTCTCTGCATATTTTACGAAGCATGCTACAATCTTAGTCGTTGCACACCCAGATGCTGGGATGGAATAGAGCACTTGGTTTGTAGACAAATAACCATACAACATCCCTATTGCCTGGAAACTCCATGCAAGCAATCGGTGTAAGTGCACAGAGGTAAGTGCAATGGAGTAGAGTACCAGACGCAGGTCAGGTTTTGCAGAGGGATGAGTGAGGAAGTACATGGCTCAAGACAGTCATCCTGCAATGAACGCCTCTCCTGGTTTGAATGGCACAGCTGCTATAGACCGAATACAAACAGGGTCTGCATGCCACCACTGTGTTGAGACTTCTTACTTTTCAAGGAGAAGAGACTTGTGTTCTATTCACTGCCACACACACGCGTGCACGCACACACAAACAGGGGACATGTTGACACTAGTGTTGCTGTTTATCACCAAGACAACACAAAACTTGCTCTGCCCTCTGGAGACGCTTCTCTGTGTGGGTTGACAGAACACCAGAAACTTTTTAACTGCCAGTTATTAGAGTTTGCCCAAACTTACACCGTAAGAGACGTTGTGTTTCCTCCAGCAAAAGTGAGCTAAAATTGATGCTTTGTTTCTAGGTCAAGGCCAGGAAGGTTTCTGGAGAATTATGATGTTATCCTTCCCCTGCTCTCTGTACAGGTCACTGTCAGAGACAGGATTTTAAGCTAGGAAAGCTTTTGGACCCTCACAGCATAGCAGCTGTTGCCTAAAATGAACCATGTTCTCCTTACTAGACTGATTTCTGACAGGTCAGAGCTAGAGGACCACACATAACATCTGTGAAATGGGAACTTTTTTTAGTGACACTAATATTTACAGAATATTACACCTTTCCAGTAACAACAACAACAACAAAAGGATAGAGAGAGAGAGAGAGAGAGAGAGAGAGAGAGAGCGAGCAAGTGACAAAAACACCCAACAACCCGTTACCAGCAAAGAGAGAGAGATGCCGGAGTTGCGCGTGCTCCTCGGAAATGCTACATTCAAAGCTCAAATTTCATCAAGATCGGAAACCAGAGTCCTTTTGCCATGGCGACTGGAGTGGCCGCATGGTGGGAGTCACTCGCGCCCCAGCCCTCTCCATTGCGACAGGAGCAGTCCTACCAAGTAAGGAGCAGAGTCTGAACATTTTGTCTCAGCACATGCTAACGGTTCAGTCAACCCAGGACGGTGTCTCCCCTTTAGAGAAGGCGTGAACCAAACTGTCAAAGGCATCAGAGGAAAAAAAGGTTTGTGTGCCTTAAGAAAACCATTATGATTCACTTAGCACTACCTTGCCCAAGAGGAAGCAAGGCCCAGGGACACTCAAGCCACCGTGACAGTCAGTAGTTGCATAAGACAAGGATGGTGTGCAGATCTCAAGGCTAGTGTACAGAGATAGACTACCAGGTATGGTGAGAAAAAAACAAAACAAAACAACTCTCCCCCTTCCTCCCTCCCCCCACCCCCCGCCAAATTTGGAA